TGGATTGACGGAAAAGGAATCCAACGCTTTCTCATGTATTGTGTGGTGGTGCTCTAATATCAGCTGTCTAGATTCTGTGGCTGATCAGAGGCGAGGGTGACGCCTGATTTTACAGCCGTTAAAAGCAGGACATGGCATGCATCAGACAGCCGGTGTTCCATATCCCTTCAATATTTATGCATATGCATCCTTTTCTCCAAACTTACAAATTAGAACAGTTCTTGCTTAAGCGTACAAAGAATGAAGTGTACATCGTCGCATTTCTTGTGTGCACCATGAACAGAAACTGTTTCGGCTTAAGAAATCATTGGAATGGGTTTCGGATTTAAATGAAACGCGAACTACGTGGCGTCCAAGAATCTGGAGTTTTAACTCCGACACTTCCACCAAACACGCTGGACAATCTTCATCTATCTGCCAGTAAAAATGCTTCCACACAATTCGCTTCCCGATTTCGGCCATAATTAGCTATGTGAATATTATCACAAAGAAATATGCAGGGGGCCGTGGACAGCACGTGCGGACTTGGGAATCATAACATTTTGTTCACATATGAGCAGACATTCTACTCATATGTATGTCTTCGAAAACCGGGATTGCCTGAGTCATCAAAAAAGTGACCAACTGACGGCAATGATGTTTTGCTGTCATTCATCCTTCTAATTAGGCTCGAACTTATTCTAGAAACTATATGTGACCAACTGTCGCTAAGCAACGCTCTACTGAAACCTAATAGAAAAAACCCAGAGGGAACTCAAAGGTGGACACATAACATAAGCCCCCTTATTGTGAACTAATATAAGAAGGCTTCATGTTATGTGTCCACTTTGAATTCCCATCTGGTTATTCCCAGCCCTGATATAAATTCTTATTTCACTGCTCCTACTGTACTTTTTTCAAGAGGAATAGGAAGAGCGATATCTGCATCTCAACAATTTCGAAAAAACTGAGGAAGGGGCAGCTCGGAATGGCGCAGTCAGAGTTCGAAAATGAGCTGTTGTTTATCACGCATTCTGTGAGTGCTGCTCCACACTGCTGGACCCGCGCAGGGCAACCCTCAACCTCAGGTCGAAAGAACTTTGCAAATTCATGGGATTCACCTAGTGCCGGCTTATATCAAAAGTAGCTATCTTTGATGTTGTCACTCAAGGCTGACCAACATCGCGGATCATTGGATCATTGCCAAAGCCGAACCCGTCTTCAATTTCATTCACGATTCTGAATAAAGTACTCAAACCATGCTGGATTTGCAGAGACTCCAGTGCATAGCACACGAACTACAAGGCGTGTAAATCCAGAGCTCTTACGGAATATTAAAGTTCTGCCCATAAATTGTCTCATGTATCATTTCGGAAGCAAGTCAACCGACATTCACCAAAAATGGCAAATGGGATCTTTGTTAGGAAATCGCTATATCCCCTATGGGCGCAAATAGTTCCGGAAAAGGAACCCGTTTTCTCATATTAGTGAAAACAGAAGAAATATTCCTTTCGGCCGTATTCCTAATATATTCTATGTGTTTTTGACACTAATGCTATCAATCATGAAAGATGAGATCTGAAGGGTCTCTGCCCTATAGGTCTTCTATAGGAGTAGGATAGTGCGTATCGTGAAGACGCCTTCGTGCAATCTTTCAGAGCAATTTGTCAGCTAAACGACTTATAAGCATAAGACATTCCTTACTCGATCTCGTTTCGAGTTTTTGATCATTACGAATAAAAATAGTCATATGTTGATTGCTAGTTCCGCACCAGACATACTATCGTAAACCATTAAAATTTCGAAAGTGCAGAGGGTATTTTACGTCATTAGACTTCTATTCGACATCTTCTCCAGTCGATTGAAATACCTACTGCAGTATTCTGCTTTTTTCTACTTGGTACACGACTTCCCGTATTATCACTTGACTATTTAAAAACTTAAAACCCAAAATATTAATCGAGTATTTGTACCCGTCTACCACCCATCCCCCTCGACGCTACCATCCAATTGCCGAGGTTCCTGCTTGTATCCTATACATTTTGTTTAATCTCATCTTTAAATTTACCACCCTTCAAATATATTATCTTCCCCGAATGTCTCATTTTTCTACTATTACTCGTCCTCGCATCATCTTCAGCTTCTGCGAGGTCGCCTTTGCGGGTTGCCCTCTCTAATTAACGCCTTGCGGACGTGATTTGGCAGAGCTAAAAGCTAATAAAAACGAGCTACGATTGTAATGGAAGGCTAAACGGAACAGTGAAATGAGAATCGACGTCTTCAGGGTACAAACAGCACACTATTATGCCAGAGGCATGGGGAGGAACCGCTGACATGCCGCCCATTATCACGCCAGCAACCCAGCCGCAATTGAACACACTTTGTCACGATTATTCGCAGTTCATTGGTATTCCTCGCCCAATATATTGCTTTAATTCCTTCGATCTTCGTCGTATTTCTTTCGCAGCGAATGGCTGCAGCTCCTTTCGATATTATCCGGTTTCTCTGAAACTCCTTTTTGCGTATAACAAAGTCAGAAGCGACGCTTTACTCACTGTGGGATAGCTATCTTTCAATACGACAATGACACAATTAAGTATCTACTCGCAGTACCATTTCGCCTTTCATGTGAGCAGACTAGTGAGTCAAAGACGTTAAACCAGTCTGGTTGCAAGCAGCCCACGAAAAATTTGACTTTCCCGCACAGTGAAATGAGAATCGTCACCTTCATGTTACAAACAGCACCCTATGATGTCAAAGACACGATGAGGAACCGCTGTCATACCGTCCAGTACCACGCCAGCATCCTAGCCGCAATTGAGCACACTTTGTCACGAAAGATTACTATATTATTCCTCTGCATGCTGTCTAGACGGCAGAAAGCTGTGTGCGAGTCTTCTGAACCTACAACTTATGACCCACTCATTTCGGAATTGTTTATTTCCCATGCTCGCAAATTTTCGTGTATCTCCACTACCAAGAGTCTCGAGCGAAAAGAATGCGAAGTCTCACCACCTATCATTGCGAAACCTTGGTTTGCAGGGTTCATGTGAACTGTCCTTCCTTAATATATTTTACTGGGTTCATTTATAATCTAGTAAATTTTGTTAAGATATTTTGAGTAATGCGATTCTCCTGAACTCTGGAATCTGGAATCAAAGTGTGGATCGATCAATAACAAATTTTCAGTGGTAAATGGGCTCGATTTGCTGAGAGCCAATTTCAAAAAATTCTTATAAAGAAGCATACGAGGGTAGTTCTCTAAGATCCTTGAGAGCACCAGAGCTTACGAATACAAGCTTTGGAACAATCGAATAGGTCTCACTCCCCGAGATTACCAAAGATTTGAATTGCAAAATCCCTCTTTTAGACTGCTTTATTTTCATTTAATGGAAGTGAGCTTAACTTGTTTAACTTCCCCTTTTTATTCGCCTTGTATTTCACTTCCTCTCCGACTCCAACATTAATTTTTTGCAAAAGATTTTTTTGAATTTTAATAATTCTGAGGGACTTGCTCTTTGTTCTAACTGGTATTTTACGACCTGGAAGGAGACCGTGTTCAAAGTTCTGCCCAATAGAATGCTAAGTACGTTTCTCGGGAAAAATATACTGCGATAACACCACCGACCTTGAGCCCACGAACAGTGTGATCACCCTTCCCTCAAGACACCCTTTCCACGCGTTCATACTTCGGAGGCCATAGCTCAAGCGAATGAGAGCTACACGCAAGAACTCCTTCATCTCCAGACAATCGCGAAAATTACAATCTTATTCCTAAGTTTCTTCTTCCTTTCTTTTTTTTTTCTTCGACTTTTTTTTCACTGGAGAACAACCTAATGCCTACAATTTCTATTTGGACAACCTGTTCATACAGCTTTCACAGATCTTCCTGACTGCAAGTCTTCTTACCCACAATGGTAGATCAAGACATTACCAGTAAGAGCTCTTCAACGCACTCTTGATCTTAGCAAGTCTCGCTTGCTCTCGCAGGGTTAAGAGGTACCAGGCGCATCTGATGGGAAACAGGATCATTAGCAAAGACTAAAGAATAAAACAGCGGTGATTTCGACAGTACCAGGACAATAACATCCATAGAAAACGAATGGAAAATAAAAAATAAAATTAGTCCACTACAAAGTTTTCCATATATATGCTAATATTTCAGTTGTAACGGGTAGTAAAAAACTTTCTCTTCGTTGCCATGACCCGCTGGCTGGATTACAACTGAGGCGTGCAAAAGCTATACTATATTCACAATATATAACCACTCGAAAAAAAAAAACTAGTAACTAAAAAAGAAAACACCACCTTCAGTTGTGCAGAAGGTCAAAAATTGGAGCTGGCAATAACATAGACTGGAAAAGATCCAAACGTCTCCTTTTGTAGAAAACTGAATTCGACTTCCCAGTCTGGATCAATTCGTATCTGAAAACTTTTCAGTGCTGTGTACTACATGTGCTCACGACTGGAAATATGTTACAGCAAATAGCAGACCAAGCTCATAAGCATGATCTCATTTTTTTGATATTCATTTTCTATCTCTTTAAATTTTCCTTATAAATCGAACTTTCTTCCATCTATTCACTTCAAAGTGCACACTGAATAGTATTTCGCTAACTAGAATCATTCGGTATAACAGTAACAGCATAGCTCAGTCATTTTATGAATTCAAATTTCATACCCAAAGACTGCGCACAGATTGACAGACAGTACTTTTATGTGGGTCATGAGCTACCGTAACCAATGGGACAAACTACACAGTAACCGATATCGGTCATTTTTCTTATAATCGGTTCCTGTTTATCTAATTGCCTCGACTCTTGTTTCGTCATTAAAATTACATACGTCCGTCGCTATCTTAGGATTAATTTTTATCGGAAATTCCTTTTCGAACAGCACAATTCCAGCAACGGGGCGCCTCCAACCGTATCGACGCCCCGCTGTGGCTGAGCAGTCATCGATTTTTCGTGTCCCGCGCACGCGTCGACACCACAGCGTAAGAATCTATCCGTTTTACGCGCATGGCGCGCGGTTCAGCCACGCCCAGCATTAGCCCCGCCCTCATTCTTCTCGTCACTATTCCAGGTAAGCATTTTTTTAGGTTTTATTTCATTCAAATGAGTAGCTAGTAATTCGCTTTTTTAGGAGCAGTGGGCATCGGTTGTTTCGTGTGTAGCTCGTTCGATGGAAACAACAGAGCGTGTGAGGATCCCTTCAATAGCACGCTGGAGGCCTCTTCCAAGGTTGGACACCAAGTTTCAGTTGTTTGATTTTGTAATATAAAAAATACGAAAAAAACACGGAGGCAAGATGGGACCACTGATGATAGGTGACAGGATCAGACTGCGCTCGCAAGCGGCGTGGCGGAGCGGAAATATTAAACTCGGACCAGTTGAACCTTCAGTGAGTCATTAGTTTCAAGATGAACAGCAACAGAACCTGACTTCTAATTATAGAAATAAGCATCAGTACTACTGATTACCACTTGCATGCCCTCTCAGTCCTCCGTCAAGTTTCGCGTTTCAAAAAGTATTATTTGTTGCAATGAAGGAGCGCGCGGTTTGCCCATTATTGCAACTCTATCATAAGAAGGAGGAAAACCCGGAGTGAGCCGGACGACTGGTTTCTATATTAAGCAAACCATCTTTTCGAAAATTACGATGTAGCACAAATTGAGCAACATAAGCTTCGCATAGTAACGGGTGCACCACAGCAAAGAACTTTTCGAAAGGGGATGAAACTTATACTTGATCTCCGCCGTGGTAAAATTTGGTCCCCAAACTTTCCTTGAGGCGGGTGTGGGTTTTTCTATACGAACCATTTGCCGCGGTCGCCACTGCTGCTTGTGGTGGGACTCGTGTAGAAATACCACCCCACCTTTGAATCGGATTATGGAAATATGTAGAAAGTACCTCCCACTGTGGGTGCGCTTCCTTCAATGAGAGCGAGTCTCTCTCATTTTATTTATTGAGCAACTCCTAACCTTTACTCATTTTCCCGGGGGTCGGGTCTGTTTCGAGATGTAAAGAAGAAAGTTTAGAACCAAATGAGGAAGTTAAGGCGTTTCTCCACGTAGTATCGCACTTCGTGGCAGACGCCTACTAATGGTAGGATCGGGATAATGAATTCATAAGTTTCCAAAGCGCTAAATCATAATTCATTCTGGTAAGATTTATGTTTGTAGGTGCAAAAAAGGTAGATTTTTGGGGTCGATTAATCGGAGTTGATTGGAGATTTTGGGATGCATCCTCACAATCGACTTCCACGCACAACCGCATGCTCGCGGCGACTTTTCAATTCGTATGGTCCTTACAATCCGCAGTTCAGCCTGAGAGTGCTATTAACTTTTCACTGCAACTGCTTGTATGGCCCATACAATGACTTGCGGTGGCCAGCCGATGTACAAGTGCTTCCATCCTCCCCGACGAGTCTGATTCCAATTAACCGACCACAGAGGGATGGAAGGCTTGGTTGACCTAGGCGAATATCGAACCGGGACTCGAACCCGTGACCATGAAAATGTGAAGTACGCCACTTGACACTAAACCTTCTCTGCTTAAAACTAGAAGTTGTGGCAGGCACCCGACTGAAATTCACTTCTAGGATATAGTGTGCGTTAAACCAAATCTGTAAAATACAAATTTCTAGCAACGTGAAGCGGCATCGATCACGAACTACCATCATCCATGTTGGGCGTTCAAAAAAGGTCGACAAGGTCTCTTCCCCGCTGATCACTGTATCAAAATTATTGGCCACCGAGGTGAGCAAGTCACTCACGTCCCTCCGATCATGTCCGACGCTCAATCCTATTTCTTTGCAGCAGAAAACGCTTCGAAGACGATGATAATTCGAACATGTGCTCTCGATTCGGGGACGCTTACAGCTGATACAGGTTTGTAAGTCATGCCGCGTCAATGCCTATTTCATTCATGTGCGGCACTTAGAAAACGGTGTATACCACAGCAAATTCACATAAAACTTATTCCGATTTACCAATCGTGAAACCCCTCTTCCACTTATTTTTATTCACATGCACATCTCACAAAAAAAAAAAATAAAAGATGGCTTCTAAGTTGTCTCCTTAGGAAGAACACGGGCACTCAAGAATGGTACATGGGACGCAGTCGGGTTGAAAAGCAGCTCAGTCAGGGTGCAGTAAGGGCTCTAGAACAGACTTGGCCGACGTACACATCCAACAGCGACCGTGTACAAAGAGCTTAGAGAAACCGCATTATTCACAGTGGATCCCAAAAGTTGAAAATTCAAACAACTCGTCATGATAATCCTACTATATATAACGCGCTAAGTGTGTCTGTTGGTTTGTCTGTCTGTGCGTGTGTGTGTGTGTGTGTGGGGGGCGGGGTTTGTGTGAAAACTTAAAGTTGGACCTAGAGAGTTCAAATTTGGTAGGAGTACAGGCGGTAGGATGGAATTACTTATGTTGGGTGGCGGGGCCGGACTCCGCCCTTAGGGGGCGTGGTTTGTGCGGGAAATCATAACTCCAGTCCCCATAGACCTAGAGCGTCCAAATTTGGTCTGAGTACTCCAGATGGGATGGGAACGCTTACGGTGGTGGCAGGACCTTACTCCGGCCACAGGGGGCGGGG